GGAAAAGCTGCATTTTAAAGAGTGATATTTTAAAAAAGACACTTCCATTCCTGAAGTTAGCATATGTGAGAAGTTAAAACTCATGAACGACCCATGGTTGCTAAGTATACTGAATTGGTACTTATGTATCAATTGATACGTAAGTATTGATACTTCAAGCAATTCTATTTAAATGTTATTCTAGGTTTCTGTGCTTCAAAACTTACCTTTTTTGTGTTTGTTTGTATCCTGTGTGTGCTTGTTTGGAAACCACAATGTGCTGATTAATTATTTTTTTAAAAAAGCTAATATGCCTGTCACACTTGTTATACAATGGTACTTCTTGAGGCTTACTTTAGAATCCGGCTTAGTTCTATAACTTCTAGAAGGAAGAGCTAAATAAATATAGGCCAGGTGTCAAGTCAGGACAGTGCTTCTGTGACAAATAAAGAAATTTAGTTACATCTTAAATGTAATTTTTCTACTCATTGGCTCATTTAATAGACCCACATTGACTGTGCACTATGAACGGAGGGTTCAAACAGCTTTTTTTAAGAGCACATAAGTAGTATGAAGTGAACCTAAAGTCTGAATTTGAATTTTTCCTGTTCGAAAAGGATGCATTATTTTTAGTGCATTATACCACATTTTATATCATAATTGTGGCCTGGAGACTGCAATTTTCTATATAACTGTCTATATGCTTGCTTATCCACTATTTATATCATGCAAATTTATATCGAACAATTGTCTGGGACTGAAAACAGGATTTTCTTTCAAGTGTTGATATTTCTGTGTATATTTGATGACTAGGGCTTTTGGGGTCACTTCGGAGCTCCAGAGTTCAATAAAATAACGCAAGAATGTAAGCATCAGAGAAAACGTCATTCCAGTGAATAACCATCAGTGGGTTCTGGAAGTCAGTCGTTTCACTGTGAAGACAAGAAGGCTGGAAATCATTCTTCATGACTGCTCGTTATAGATGATGTATTTGTTCCAAGTTGGTAATAAATGAAGTTTACACATGACTTAGGAAACACTACATATTTAAAATGTATTATAGGGTATAAAAATATCCTCCAATGCATTGTCATTTGACCTTTAAATGCTACAGGGTGGAGAGAAGTTGCTATAATATATATTTTTACAGATGAAGAAACACAAAACTATGGGGTTACCATGAATACGAGCTAATGCTATGTTGACTATTAGAGAGCCATAAGCACATGGATGAAGACTGCTGACTGATTTGGGCATTAATCAGATTAGGTTGGTGCCAAATTTATCACTCCCTATCATGCAATCTTAGAAAAGTTAATAGAAAACTCTCCTCAATTTCCTCATATGTACAACAGAATAACAACAACCATAACAATGAGTATCATTATTATTAGTGTTAGGACAGCTAAGATGACCAATAGAACACTTGATTGTAAAACACTCTGAATGGTGTTTGGGACATAGGACTCAATGGGTTGGTTAGCTAGCCAATCATAATCTTGAGTGTTAAAAAAATATGGCAGAAAATAAATAGAAAAGCAAAACAGATATTTCTGGATATCTAACAACCAGTTATTCTTTTTTAGTGTTTTGTTTTTGTATTGTTTTAATTTCCTTTACTTATTCCAGTCTAATTCAATTGAGCAAACATACTGCTGTCAGAGGATTTGACTTAAAGTATAATTCATAAACCATATCATGCTAAGAAACATTAAATTATTCTCCTTATAATAAAATATGAACTCCTTTAGATGAAACTACATGTGCTCAGAAATCATGATGTAAATGCCAACCTACTCTTTCAACTATATTTACTATTTCTCCTTTTGTCTACTCCTACGCACCAGCTAACTCAAATAAATATGTGGTTTCCCAACTACTCCCTGCTCCAATTTCTCTAGGTAAAAATCTCTCCTTGCCCCACTGTTTGATGGTCTCCAACTTTCAAGATCTGCTTAAAAGGATGACTATTCATTAAGCCCTTCTTGATCCCCTTGAGAAGATATTTGTATCCCATTTTTATGATACCAACTTCTTTATTATAAAACATCATCCGGTGGTAACTGGGTGGCTCAATCAGTTAAGTGGCTGACTCTTGGTTTTGGCTCAGATCGTGATCTCAGGGTCCTGAGATCCAGCCCCACGTTGGGCTCCATGCTCAGCCCAGAGTCTGCTTGGGATTCTCTCTTTCCCCTTCTTTCTGCCCCTCCCCCTGCTCGCACATGCTTGTGCTCTCTCTTTGTCTCTCTCTCAAGTAAATAAATAAAATCTTAAAAAAATCATCTGCATTGTATTCTCTTGACAATTGAATATATTTTATCTTCCATACAAGATCATGAAGGAGATAACTAGTTAGCATTTTAAGGTGAAAAACTTGGCAAATAATTTTGGGTTTCATATTTCTGATCTAGCTTCTTTAAACACCCTTCCTTCTATGAAGCTCCATAATCATGTTCCCCAATAGATTGCTGCCTTTTTTTTTTTCATCCCCAAAGCATTTAGGCAGAATCCCAGTATATAGATTGTACAGGATCAAAAAAGACTGGCTATGTTGATATTAAATTTAACTCATGAGAAAGTGACAAAAGAGTACAAATATTATAATATGACATAATATAAATGTTTTCTTTTAAATAATTTATAATTCTGTTTTCTGCTCACTGTTACATTTTGTGTCTACATCTGTGACTATAAAGAGAGCAAAAAAATAACTTTTCAAAGAATTGACCAATGTAAAATGGCATGCTTCAGACCTTGGAGAGGTGGTAGAAATTGGGGACAAACCAGAATATATTGAACTGCACAATTACTAGGAATATAAAGCAGTGGTTTAACTACATAATCGTACTGGTGCAGAAATAAACAATTTTCTGGAGACCAACCCTAGACCCTCGTAAATGACGTTAAGTCTGAAGCAGGTAGAGTTTATTATTCCTACCTCTGAGGAAAGCATATTAAGAGGGCATTTACTTCTTTATAATGCACAAGGAAGTACAGAACCAGAGGCCACAATAAAAAAATGTGAGGTATTAAGAGTGTCTGATATTGGTCACCCATGTCTGGTATTTCTATGACACTGTTGGATTTATCCAGGTGATATTAGTCAAAGAAATTTGTAGTACAATTTAGACAACTCATTAATAAAATGAATCAGGATAATCTATGTTAACAAAGGACCTCAGATTTATGAAACAAGATTATTTATAAAAACACATCTCTGGCTATTTTTACAATATATTTTACTTTGCTACTTTTTTCAACCTTTAAGAGAGGAATGGGAAATATTAATTAAATGGATAAGAGATTTATAATAAATTCCAGTCCTGATTCTTCTATTCTTCATCTATTTAACAATTTGCTGGCTGAGCCCTCTGTGCCATAGTGTGACAGATAGAAACAAGCAAAGGGAAGAAAGAATCATAAATAGACATGATATCAAAACTAACTCACTTCAGTGAAGTTGGAAAAACCTAAAACTCACTTTTCAAATCATATACATTTAGGATTCAGAGAATTTTACAGATTTTATTTATTTAACCTCCCTCCAGAGCTGGAATCTGACAGGACTCATTTTCATCACTGAAATATACAAACTTTATAATAAGATAAAATGCTATTTATTTTACCCCCGAAACATCAATAAATTATTTGCCATTACTTTAATTAAGGTAACAGGAACCAGTATCATATTTTGTCATTTATTATAATATTTGGAGGTCGAGGAAAATCCATTCATGGGATTTTTTTAAAAAGCTATCAAATTTGAGGGAAACCCAAATTCCTAAGGGAAAAAACAAAGAAGTTGATGCAACAGCTTACGTGAATATTCATTCAGTTTTTGTCAAAGACCTAACTTTATTAAACACCAGGAATAACAGTTTATGGAGTCAGACCCATTGAAGTATTTTTCGTGGGAAAAAAAATGGTGCAAAACAGAAAAGCCAACATTTCCACAATGTGGATTGTTCTCCTTTAAAAGTCCATTTATCTCCAGTTACGTTTATAGCCACATTTTAATTATCGGACCAAATGAAAATGAATTATGGAAAATCAACATCACATATCTCTACTTTGCAATATGATGCATAGGAAGTGCATGTATATAAAATCAGGTACAAAAAAAATCGCATTTCCAAATCAGCACACCAATCTTGAATTAGGCAACTGAAATGCACTTGGACAAAAGTAAAAGGCTGAAAGCAGGGCTTCACACGTGTTGCATAGACTCATGATATGTCTCCCAGTTTTTGAAAGTGAATTCAAAAATAAAGAAATAAAAGGAAAACAGCTATTTTCAAATTAACTAACATAGTGTGTAATTATGTTTTTGGAGAACATCTTGTGGAATTAATAAAGCACTTGTGTAAGTCATATTTGAATTCACTTTATCAAAAAATATGATTATTTATTAAAATAACTTGATTTGAAACATCCCGAAACATCTTGTACATCTTGAAACATCTCATTCCTTAATTACAATGTGTCTCCCCATTTGAATGTAAACCAAGGGTTGATATTCAGGTGATAGGATCTGACGTGCCAGTAAATAGGAGTTTTTAATATACAGATAAACATCAGTCCTGGCTTTTAAAGAGCCTCCTCCAGGGGCCTCCCAGGTATCGTGGAGTCCTATACTTTCAAGATCCAGCATCTAGAGTTATCTTGAGGGCCAACAGGAAGCCCCAGGTCCCTGCCTGCACATCATCACTACCTTCTCTTATGACTCATCAATGGCCATTGTTAAATATTGTTAGTATGACCACTGAGGAGACTTAGTCTTCATTTGAAATATTTTTGTTTTCCCATGGAGTTGTTGTGTATTAAATATATGTAAGAAATCCATCTCTATCATTTTACTTAGTGTGGTTGGACTTTTTGTGTTGTTTCATTAGCGGATTTCTTAAAATATCTTTTAAGCATTGAACCAGCAGATCAGAAGAATTCTGCATATTTAGGGAGAACTGCCTGTGGACAGCTATAGGGCAAGTGAATGGCAAAGTGGTTCACTTAATTTATTTTCCTTTTTTTTTTTTTTTGCTGTTATAAATAAGTCTTGACATGAATATCATATTTTTTTGAGATTATTCATTCAAATTGTAAAGGGTCCTATGAAGATTTCTAAATAGGGAAAGTAAAATATGACTAATCACTTCAAAAATAATCTGTGGATGCATTAAATTTGAATTAAAGGACATAAGAGTTGGCATGCAATTAAATAAATCGGTAAAGCCAAATACTAAAGACTAAATTATGACATAAGCAGTGTATATAAAATCTGTAGCAAAACAACAGAAATAATCTTTCTTTATCAGGTTCAATATGTATTTTTTCTATTCATCAGTTTATCACATTCATGGAAGTGATTATTTATGCATGTTGACATTTTTTCGATATAGGTTATTCAAAATTGCTATGATAATTCTTTAATGTTTCTATCATAAAATTTTATTTTCTTTCCCATTTATTTGTTTTTGTAGCATATATGAAATTGAATTCCTAACAGAGATATATGCAAGTAATTCATCTATGGGTTTGTAAAGCCTGCTTGAGTCACAAAGTTTTAACTGTGATAGACCAGACTACTTTATTATTTGAAGGACAGACTTCTGTAGAATTCAGCAGTTCTGGAGATGGTGGTAAGTGGATTTATAGTAATTCTGATTTTTAAAATTTATTTTCTAAGAATACACATTGAATATTTAAAAAGTACCCATTTATTAAATCAAACCTTAGAGAGTGTGTGTATGATTCAACCGCAATTAAATATATTATAGGATTTCACTTTATTTATATTAAACACATCATGATTAGCAAGCTTTCAGGTATTATATGTGTGCCTGAGTATGAGAACAACTCAGAATGGCATAATTTGGGTCATAAAAGGGCCTGTGATTTTAAAGCATTTAAAAAGATTTTCCTATTCTAAAATGAGAACATATTCCATAAAATTTGAGAGATCAAATTTAGAGAAGTAAGCCTCAATACTAAAAGACATCCTAGAGCCTAACAGGTAGAAAGAGTTGATATAAAGTGTGCAGTTATGTAAGTCAGGTTTTTTTTTTATCACTCTAATAGAAGAAAACATTTTTCTTAACTCAAGTTAGGAAATTATTATACATTTTTATATATCTTTATATAAAAAGTTACAAGTAGCAAGCATATGACACAACGAAATGGAAGCGTAACAGCAGTATTTGAGAATGCATGCTTTTTACAATGTGTCTAATAAAAAGGATATTTTTCCAATTCAAATATCCAGTACTGACATGCAGGGTATTTTCTCAAACTGTCAATTCAGTCATATTGCTAAGTGCTTAATCAAAAAACATTTCTATTGACGGGTATGAATGGTAAAATACCTGATTTCAAAAACTCTTTCTGAAACTTAGTATCTTCCTTTGATATAAAACAAAAAGGAAATTGGGGATATTTGGGAAAGACAAAAAAAATGAGATGTTTCTTATTGCAATCTAGTTATTTTTACTCATGACTCTTGGCTGCATTTAATCATAATACAACAATAGGTGTTTATAGTCCATAAAACCTCTAGCTGGTGCTTCCATGGTCCATATTTTCACTTCTTAACTGTAGCATGTTCATAATCCCTCAGGAACGCACTATTCTCAAGCAGTCTATCTAATGAAAACAATGTACATGTAACACAAAGTTCATCCAAAATCGTGTTGTTCACATATCACACAACGTACAATTATACAACAAGGACATAAAACAACATAGAAACAAAGTGAAACTAACAGTAAAAAGAAAAAGTGGGATAGTCTTAATCAGGAACTAATTTCTTCTTCAAGTTTCCAGTAAATCTCAAAATGTATTTAAAAACTAAGGAGCACTTGGTGGCCAGCAACCAAATTACGAAATGAACATATCATTGTGCAGCGGGGATGTCTTGCCGAAGGGATAACAAATGTCTGTAATTCTTAAGTTTGGATAAAGGCAGTGGAATGAATTTAGAAATATGTCCACTTTTCACAATTCACTATAGAATTTTCGTTTCACAGTCCCCATGTTTGTATAAATAGTTCTTCTCTGAAAATAAAACACAGTTAAAACATTTTCTCCCAATGAAAAACACATACAAATACACCAATTTATCAAGGTAATATAGAGCATGGAAATGCATTCACCTAATTCAAGAATAGTTGATAAGCTTGAAGTGTTTTGAAGAGTTTAGCTGTCAAGCAAATTTAATTGGAGACAAATTAGTCTAATATAGATATAGATTATCAAGTCCTAAAAGTAAAGCTCTCATGGTATTTGATTGCAAAATAGATGTACACATAGACAACTAGTATTTATGGAACATTTGACATTGTTAAGCATTCAAATTTGATATCATAGAATTTGGCATAACATGCTGCATTTAATTTTCATGAAATAAGCTACATATTCATGCAAAAATAAAGAGTGCACAGATTGTATATGTACCACCAAATAGTGTGAGTCTGAGTAGAATATTGCCAAATTAAATAAGAAAATTACCAGCTTTATATGTTGACTTCAGTTATATTGAGACAATATTCAATTGTTTTTGTTATGAAAAACTTGCATCTCTTCTGATATTTTTGAAAAGAGTTTACTAGTTTTTCGTATTTTAACCTTAAAACATGTAAAATTTAACTTGCTAATTTAACATTCTTTTTTTAAATAACACTCTAGTACAATGCCTGATGGTAAGAATATGAACATTTATTTTAAAGATATGTATGCTAAAAATCATCACTCCATCAGCATTGAATCCAGTATATTTCTGATTCTGAAATATTATGAAACACTTATCTCAAGAGATAATGAATAAATAGCACATTCCCTAAAAAAATCTACAAGACAATTGCAACAAAACAAAACAAAACAGAGTACAACAAGGTGGGAGAAGGAACCAAGGGCGTTTGCTTACCTTGAATTTTCTTTTTAGACCCTAGTTGTGTTGTGTTCAGATTCAGGTTTGCTTAGAGACCCAATGAGGCGGAACCTGGAATGTTACGGCTATTTCATTCAACAAAGTAATATTTGCACAAAAAGTAAATATGCATACAAATATTTACATAAGAGCATTCCTAAAAATTCGTCAAACTGTGGAAATAGATTTTTTCCATCAGCATGCAAAAATATTAAATCAACTGAAAATATTTTAGGTTTTGAGGATGCATAATGAATTGAGAAAGTATGTGCATTTATAAAACAAACTAAATGCTAGTAAACATGCAAAACAAAACATACGTATTTTGGATTTGGGGGTTTAAAATAGGTTTTTTTTCTAAATTAAATTTTCTTTCCCCAAAATTTTTACCAATTTTAGGGCTAATAATACGATACAGGTAATATTATCTTTATGTTAAAAGGAAAATGAATCAAATGTTTCTACTATTTTTTCTACATTTAAATATAAATGTTTAGTATTTTAGCATACCATACCATTATATGCAATTTGTAATGTAAGTATCATGTGATATGTGGAAAAAAGGATTTCAGTATTTTCATTTTCATACAAAAATATAATACATTATATTGCAAAATATGTTATTCTTACATTAAAATTATTCAATGAGATGGGTTAACCATCTTGGTAAGGCAGTTATTTCCAAATATCATTTCATATCTGAAAATATGTTGAGTATTGATGAGAGCAAAATTCATGACTACGTGGAAGCAAATTAGCAATACAAATTTATAATATAAATTAAAACCATAATTTTTGTAGAAATAAATACTATATATGTATAGAAATAAATGAAATCTCTTTGGTCTGTGTGTGCTCACACACAAACACCCATGTATATAAACAGGATTTAAGAAGGGTATGGATAGCACCAAAAAAGAAAAGGGAGAGGAAAAACTTGAGACACTATGGTTTAAATCATTAATAAAAAGAGAAACTGAAATATGAAGATCAACTAGAACACAATATTCTGGAGGCATTACAGTCCTCAGGTTATAGTTGTCATCAAAAAATCTATTGATACTGACCGCTGGATGGCTTTGTCATGTCGGGACAGCCTGTGACTCGTCGTCGGCACCTCCTCGATCTCGTCGATGTCACAGACATCTGCGGCATCTTGCGAGTAGTTGTGTTTCATGACAAGGATATTTCTTCTGTTCATGGGCGGGATAAGGGGTTTGACGGGCTGCGGAGGCATCTCTGTCAAGACAGAAGCATCTCTTGTGCTGAGGTTACTGCGGCTGCCTTTCGTACTGGACACTTGTGACCCACAGTGATGGTCGTGAACGCATTTGGAAGAGGATCTCCGCAGTTTATGGTAGTTTTCAAAGTCATCTGCCACATCTGCAAAGTCAGCTGTGGCTCCCGTCCCTCTTAGAGTACACAACTCATAATGAGGAGGTTCAAACACCTCCTGGAAAACTGTCTGGTCAAAGTCCGATTTCCTTTGGACATATTTTTTACGAGGCTGTTTGATCTGCACAATGACAGAGATGATAATAAGGATGATCACAATGCAGGAAGTCACACCAATGACGGTCCCACTGGTGTTGGTGAGCTGGTCCAGCAGGCTGGCTTTCCTCTTCTCTGCAGTTTCGGAGAGTGAAAACAACAAACAAAACAAGAAACAATCCACCACGCATTAATATGGTAGTCAAAGCTCATAAAAAGGAGTACACTGAGCAGAGAATTGGTACAGGCTTAAAGTAACATGAACAAATCTCTAAAAATAAACAAGAAGTGTCGCTTTTCACAAGGGCCCTATCTTCTAGCCTTCGAGACAGACCTCCCATTGCCCAGCATCCCTTACTTTCAACAGACGTTTGAAAAGTTCTTACAAGACCTTTAGCATGACATTTGGAAATAAATTAGTAATGTTAAAAACAGTAAATTATTTTTCTCCTCATAAGTATAAGAAAACATCCAAAACTCGATGAGTGGGAACACGACCTTACCTATATTGTTTTGAATTTATTCCTGACTTAAATAACTGAACTCACAGTAATACCAATATTCTGATACCAAAAGGTAATTAAATTTCATGACAGACACTTCTGGAATGGTGTATACGTCCATCTGTGGGCCCTTTCCCCAATGAAAAAACCACAACTGGTAAAAATGATTAAAAATTGATAGATAGATAGATAGATAGATAGATAGATAGATAATAGATAGATAGATAGAGATATAGTTTCTGGAAATTGTCCTAATGGAAAGAGCAAATGGAAGTACATTTATTCAAGAAAATTTACTAAATTTCTTTAAGAACAGTGAGAGTCTGTCCTTTAAACCCATTCCCCGACCCCCACCCCAATTCGTGATGATGGAAGCTTACTTAGGGAGGTTTCAGACAATGGCATAGGGCTTCTTCTCCCTAACACTCCCCACCTAGAGCTACAGTACCTCCCCAAGTGGAGCAAACCACAAGCATTTCTCCCCACCCCCTGAATCCATAGTGCAGGTAGGTACTCTATTCTAGGCAGGAGATGATGAGTTACCAAGGGCTCCATTCTTCCTCCCAGCGCCCATTGGTAGGATGGAAACTCTACACCAGGTGCAGCAGGCTGAGAATGCGTGTCTCTGATCACCCTTGCCCAAGCTCACTCATAGAGTCGATCTGCCCGAAGAGGCAAGCTGAGAAGACCAGAAGTTACCACCCTCATCCAGTACCCTATTCATAAAGTAGGGGTGTTACTCCAAGAAAAGTCAGTCATTATCCCTGCCTCCTTTCAGCACCTAGAGCAGTAATGCAGATGTTTTGCCCAAGAAGGGAGGCAGGCCACAAGAACAGAAAGCACTGTAGCTTTCCCCAAAGAAAGTTACATTTTTTGGAACAGTGTGGATAAGTTCAAGCCTAAGGAAATCTCAAAACAACAGACATTTTCTGGTAAGCAATTAAGAAGAGACTGTCAAGCTCCTCAGTACCAACAAGCCAGACCTTAGAATAGGTAGAAGTTTAACATAAAATACAGGAAAATAACAGGTAAAGAAAGCCCTCTTAGTTTAGAACAAATCACAAAAGCTAGACTCAAAGACTAACTCCTAATGGAATTGAATTTAATTGGATCAGACCTTGGAAAAATTTATGCTCCTGGGAACTGTCCAAAATAACAGAACAATTATTCAGCAATTAGTAGAGACTAATAGGTGGGTATGATACCAACAAAGACGGACAGATAAACAGGACAGGAGAAGGATGGTCAGAGAGCGCTTTACTAAACCATGACCATCTGAGGTTATGGTATGCTTGCCCACAGCATGGTCTCCATGCAGCAACATCAGGGACAGACGTCACTGAAACAGGCCAGCCAAGTCTACGCTTATAAACACAAAAACAAACAAACAAACAAAAAATGATAGCAGCAACAAGCCCCGGGGAGGGAGGAACTAGTATCCAGAATTGCTACAATACATTATCTAACATGAAGTTTCCAACAAAATATCCCAAGGCATGTAAACAAACAGGAGAATGCAATTCATACACTAGGGGGAAAAAGCCTTGGAGAGGGCCAGACATCAAACTTAGCAGACAATGATTTCAAAGCAGCTGTTATAAACATGTTCAAGGAACTAAAGGAAACAATGGTTAAAGAAGTAAAGAAAAATAGAAGGATAAGGCCTCATCACATGCAGATTAGCAGCGAAGAAACAAAAATTACAAAAAAGGAAAAAGTGAGAAATCTATGAATGGCACAGTCACTGACATAAAAACTTCATTTGAGTGACTCAGCAGTACATTTCAGCTGGAAGAGGAAAGTAACAGCAAACTTGCAGAGAAATGAAGGAAAATTATGCAATCTGAAGAAGACTAAGATAAAAAGATGCAGAAAAATGAACAGAGCCTCAGAAAAATGAGGCAAACCATCAGTGGCACCAACATAATGGATGAGCATGTAAGGAGAGAAAGTAACAGAAAAATATTCAAATAAATAAATAAATAAAAGGTGAAAACTTCCTAAATTTGATGAACAAATTTCACATCTAAGAATGTCAACAAATTCCAAATAAGACAAATGAAATGATACCCACACTCTGACATAAAAGATTAAAAATGTTGCAAAAGAAAATCTTGAAAGCAGCAAGGGAAAAATAACTCCTCACATAGAAAGGAACCCCAATCAGATTAACAGCTGATTTATCATCAGAAATTTTGGAGGCCAGAAGGCAGAGGCATGACATATTCAAAATGCTGCAGGCAAAAAAAAACAGAACAAAAACCATTGATCAAAAACCTAATATCCAGCATGACTAACTTTCAAAAATGGGGACAGGGCGCCTGGGTGGCTCAGTTGGTTAAGCGACTGCCTTTGGCTCAGGTCATGATCCTGGAGTCCCTGGATCGAGTCCCGCGTCGGGCTCCCTGCTTGGCAGGGAGTCTGCTTCTCCCTCTGACCCTCCCCCCTCTCATGTGCTCTCTCTCATTCTCTCTCTTTCAAATAAATAAATAAAATCTTAAAAAAAAAATGGGGACAAAATAGACATTTCCAGATAAACAAAAATAAAGATAATTTAATGCTGAAAGAAATGCCTTAAAAGAAATATTAAAAGAAATTCTTGGGATTGAAAGTAAGTGACTTTAGACAGTAATTCAAACCTAAATGAAAAAATTAAAAAGACAGTAAATTAAAGAGGCAAATAAATATTGTCAATAAAGACAATTATACACATAATTACAAAGGACTGTTTAGTTGCATATATCTTCAGCATTCTTCCCTTAACTTTTTAAAAGAGTAATGTCATATGTATAAAATTGTATTGTTGGGCCTATAACTTAAAGAAATATTATATATTTGGTATTAACAATACAAGTGAGGTAGGTAGGAGCAAAACTGTCCTGGAATAAGGAAGTGACATCAGATGGGACTGTGAATCCACAAAACAGAGGAAGAGAATCAGAAATGGTAAAGAAGAAGGGTTATATAATGGACTACATGAATATACACTTGTTCTAAAATTATATAAAGTAATAATTACAGCAATGTATTCTTTGATTTGTAACATATATAAAAATAATATGGAAAAAAGTAATAGGTAAAAAGAAAGAGAGAACAGAGCTATATTGAAATAATGTTACTAGGATTAAATTAGTATAAATCTGAAATACGTTTTGAGAAGTTAGGCTGTATATTGTAAGCCCTAAAATAACCATTAAGAAAATAACTCAAAAGATACATTAAAAATCACTAAAGGAATTAAAATGTTACAGTAGAATGTATTCACTCCTTGCAAAAGAGGCCAATAAAGGAAGAAAAGAGGAACAAAAATACATGGGACATAGAGGGGAAAAGACGTAAAGTGGCACATGTAAATCCAACTATACATCAATATCAGCATCAAATATGAGTGGATTAAACAATCCGATGAAAAGGCAAATATTTTCAGACTGGATCAAAAAATAAGATCCAACTATATACTGTCTACAGAAGACATACTCTATATTCAAAGATATAGATGGACCGAAAGCAAACGGATAGAAAAAGACTGAACAAACTGCATTTAGAAGAAAGCCGGAGTGGATGTACTAAAATTAGACAAAATAAAGCAAAAAGTTATTAAAAATAAGAAGATAGCTTTATAATGATCAAAAAGAGGGCCAAGCCATCAGAAAAATACAATCTTAAACATATATGGACCTAACAACTAAGCTCAAAAATACATAAAATGAAAATTTACAGAAGTGAAGAAAGAGGCAGAAAATTCAACCATAACAGTTGGAGAATTCAAGAGGTACTTTCAAAAAATAGATAAAACACGGTAGAAAATGAGAACAGAAACAGAAGACTTGAACAATGCTGTAAAACCTACATCTCTAGAACAATCCACCTAACAATGGCAACAAGCATTCTTTTCAAGGGCACATAGGGCATTTTTTAGGATACACCATATGTTAGTCCATAGAACTAACTCCAATAAACAGCAGGCAGAACTTGTTACATTGCACTTCACCTTGTTGCACTTCACAGATACTGTTTTTTAACAACTGAAGGTTTGTGGCAACCCTGCATGGAGCAAGTCTATCAGCACCCTTTTTCCAACAGCATTTGCTCACTTTGTGTCTCTGTGTCACATTTTGATAATTCTTGCAATATTCCAAACTCTTTCATTATTAATATATTTGTTATGGTGATCTGTGACCAGAGATTTTGACTTGCTGAAAGGGTTCGTGGTGGTTAGCACTTTTAGCAATATTTTTTAATTAAGCTATATGGTACATTGCTTCTAAGGACATACTGTATCACACCCTTAACAGACGCCAGTATAGTGTAAAAAACTTTTAGATCTGCTAGGAAACCAAAAAATTCATTTGACTCACTTTATTGTGATATTAGCTTTATTTTGGTGGTCTGGAATTAAACCCACAGTGAAATGAGCCTGTCACAACGATTGAAATGGTAAAGGTGTGTTCCCCTCTCAAAAGAGAATGAATTTGAATCAAAACAGTGGTCTTGCCATCTGGAGAAGATAAACATGGAAGCTCATAAAGCATATCCATTCACATTCTCTTCACTCCTCTCTTATGCCAAATGGTCCTTATATGTGGGAACAAATCCCATTGGGCAAATAAAGCTTATGACTACCAATCATTAACAGTGCCGATTTAAGATTCTACTACACAAATTACTTAATCTCCAATCCATTCAGAAGTGGTTCCTTGAATAATCACCTACTCCCACCAACAAACTAATCAAGGCTGCATATGCCTTTCTCCTTGACCATGAACCATGGCTACTGGGTCAATGCCTCTTGGCTTCTAGCCACAGAAGACATTTTAATAGACAATACTGGACTTTAAGCATGAAAGAGTTAATTGCCTGTTCCTTTCCCTTTGCGAATCAGTTAATATTGAATCTGAATAAAAGAATATGCTTGGCATTTTTCAACTTAACTAAAACATGCAACATTCATAACCAAGCCACGGATTGCTATCTACATAAACAAACCTTTGTGTCCAGGCTAGAGAAGGGAGCTGGGGCATTGGAAGCTATTTTCATTGGAAATGAAGAAAAGCATTTTGGTAGCAAAACTGAAGTCAAGTTAAGTGGCTGGAAGTGGCTGGAAGTACCTGAAAACACAAATGTTCCTTCAATGCACTTTCCCTCTAGAGTATGTGCACACAGTCCAATGAAGACAGACTGGAATAAATGAGCGGTGCAGGCATCAGGTCTGATAGGAAAAACACTGCACTAAAAGCTTCATTTCCTCTCCATGGCTCTGCAGGCTCTAATAAGATGTCTTTAATGAGCATTCAAGTGTTAAAGATTCTCTACTATACATTAATGAGTAAGGAAACTTCTGGCAAAAGCAAAGAAAGACTTTTACACATGAATTACAAAATATACAAGAGGTTCTACAAAGCCCATATACACGTCAATTCTTCAGTCTGTCTGACACATCTCCACATTATAATAAACCTCTTCCCACTCTACAAGCAGAGGACTTTTACAAATTTTTGATCATTACCTTTACAATGATTCTCGTCCCAAGGATACACACAGTTCTGGAGTCCATTGCAGACTAGTGTATTGTTAATACACATGTTACTATGGCAGAAGAATGTATTGCCTTCACAGGGAGCTAAAAATAAGAAGAAAAGGAAAACGAAGAAAAAAGTTAGACCTGATATTCAGTAGTAAATCACTCATATTACAAATCTAAAAACAAAAAGATTAGTTTTCCATCAAATTGAGATAAATGACCCAACATTCCGTTCTCAGAAGTGTTGCCATTGTGGTAATTATTTCTTGTGTTCCTAACAGAGCTGGCACTTCTCTAGACGTGCTCAGTTTATAAAACTGGCACAGGAGGGTTTCCATCATAAAAATGAAGTACATTATCTATATGGGTTCTTTTTTTTTTTTTTGACTTGGTGCATTCATTTAACAAAAACTAAGTGCCCACCACATGCACAACATTATGCTTTACACTGAAATTCTGTCTGTACAAATATAGTTGTACTGTGCAAAAAGTCTTAAGTAAATTAACATTGAAATAATTTTATAAAGCATGGGCTTACAAAATGCTAATGAAGAAAGTATATATTAAACAAATCCCTATAGCGTTATTTAAGCATATGAACAAAACAAAGAATGTCATGGAAATTCAGAACAAGGGAAAATTAATCCTGAACAACATAAGAAAAATATATATTATTCTCATCAACATTTAACATATACATGGTGATGAAATTAGCCTACTTTTCATGTGTTTCACATGTCCTAGTAACTTTAGGTATGGTGGTCCATGATCTCCAGATTAGGATGTACATTCAGGGCACTGGGAGGAAAAGTAAGAACCCACGGAGGTATCCAATACATAGATATGAGAAATAGTGAAGAGTTTAGTATAGCAAAATATAACGTTAGATATGACTTCAATATTAGGAAAATACATTTCTTTCATTATCAGAGTAATAGGATGTTTAGAATAATCACTCTAGAGTAATACTGCATTACTCATGATAGTTTATAGATCACGCTTTAAAGCTAACTTTTGTTTTTACCTTCATAATGATCTCACCTATCTTAGAAAATATGATTTTAGTGTTTCATTTATTTTTCTCAACAATAGTTCTAAAACCCTTTTAAGGATAGCATTCTAGAAAAACATATTCGATACAAAACACATCATTTACAGTGGTGAGTTAATCGATCAGTAAAGAATTATTAATGATCAGTACTATCTAAATGCCAGTCATGTTGTAATGACTTTTTCACCTTCACGACTATATATCATGGGTATTTTAAAAAGTTACCTTCTTTAAATGTATTTGCTATATTAACCAAAATTTCAGGCAAATAATTTGCATAAGGCAACTTAGTATATTTTAACACGCCTAGAGAAATCCTAACAACAGTAACAACAACAAAACAAAAACACTCAAGTCTTGAAAATAAAAAATTAAAAAAAA